GGTGCGGGCGCAACAACGAGGGTTGCGATCCCCTTACCCGTCAAAAAATTTTTAAAAAGTTTGGTATTGTTGAAATACAGCAGACCCTGAATCTGCTAGAATCACAGAACTCTTTTCTCCATGTTTTTTTTGAATATTTGATAAATTATAAATTATAAAATATTCTGACACAAAGAAAAATATAGAAAATAACAGATTTAATGGATTTTTAACATTTTTCTATATTCGTGTTGGACTTTTTGTTTTTTGTTTTTTTGTTTTTTGTTTTTTGTTTTTTCCTTTTTGTCTTTTTTTTTACTGACTGGTAACAGGATCGCAACCCTCGTTGTTGCGCCCGCACCACGCTCAGCCAGTGAGCGGGAACCGGTCTCCACATGGGATCCGAACCCTTGGCGGGAGTGCTGCCGCGCTCCCAAGCGGCGCACTCTCCAGTGCGCCACCAGGCCGGCCCTGGTGTTTGTTTTTTAAAGAAATAAAAATATTCATTTACAGCTGAAGCCCCCTTCACCATTCTCAATCTTATTATCTTTATTTCCTCACTCACTTCCTCAAGTTGGTACAGACCCCTTTATATCACACATATTAATTTCTCCTTTGTTCTTCAGAAATGCTGTCATGAAGAATATAATGTATATGTAATTGATGCCCCATTCTATAGCCACATGATACCTGATTTGCCACATGTTGATTATTGCCTCTTAACCATTCCCTAATACCAATGAGTAACACTTCATGTCCAATATCATGTGACATTTACCAGGTGAAATGTTCTTGTGCTTTGTAGCCATTTCCCCTGTAAAATGATCAAAGGAACATGTTTCTATTTCTGATAGAATAATTTAACAGTATGCATTTGAATACATGTCAAAAAGTCTCTTCGTACTGAAATTGAATATAACAATATGAAGTTATAGGTAGTATTTTTTGTAACTGAAAATCATTAGTATTTCCTGTTCACATAGTTTTATTATAGTTTTAATTTTTCTCCTAGGAGACGGTTGATGCCAGAAACTTAGCTTTCTAGGGAACATGAGGATGGAGGTGTCAGGTAAAGAATTTTTTTGAGATTCTGAAGGAGCTTCAATTGAAGGTGACATATGCATACTCATGACTCTATGGTTCTGTGTTCTGAGAAATCCTTTTATTAATGAAAATTTTTAGATGTGAAAATCATATAGAAAGAGCCATAGAAAATGATAAAAAGCAATTGAAAATTGCCTTAAATGTCATGCTTTAGGTTGCCTTCCTTAAGAATCAATTTTATGGTTTTCGAAAGTTTCATTAAGGATATATATTCACTATTTTAGTTCTTTTGGTTTGAACTTATAGCAATAATTTGGCAGTCCTTCTCTGTATTATGGATTCCACAAGCATTATTAAGTTCCCACTATTTCTATTTATTGTGTCAGACACTGAAAATATAGAATTTAAAGAGAAATGATTTTGATTCTCCAGATTATAATCTAGTAGGAGACCATAATGACCTTGCTATATCCCTGCCAGGTGTCCAGAAGACAGGATAGAGACTTCCTAAGGTTCAGAGCAAGTAAAGGACCCCAGAGAACTTTTTTAGCAGGGCCAACTCCTAAGCTGCCATCACTACCATGTCCAAGTCCAATACATCAAGAAAGGCCTGGCACACAACATTCTGTAACTTTTTAAAATTAATTTTTATTTTTATTTTTTATTTTTTTTCTTACTGGCAGGATCAAGCAGGTATAATTTTTTTTTTTTTTGCACTGGTTTGTGCTTTGAGAACAGAATTAAGAATAACGAAAATCAGCTTCTCTGAAGAAAAGCATTTCTGTAGAACAAAGACAGTTGTGTGTTTTGCTGCCATTATATAGCTCAAAGCAGGAAAAAAAATACAAAATACAAGTTTTTGAAAAAATTTTTCTTTTGTTTTACAATGCTGTTATTCAGAATTTTCAACCTTATAAATAGAAGAAGTATGTTATGCATAGGGATATGGTGCATTATTGTTTTTTAAGGAAACAATTACAAACCCTTTAACTTTACCACAGAATCAAGAAAAATAGTCAGTAATGTTGAAAATTTTGCAAAAATCCCAACCATAAAGCAATTTGTCTACTATTTTTATATGATTACAAAATGTCACAAAAAAGTTCTTTTCTCCCTCCCCCTCTTTGATGATTTGATTATACACGAGACAGGCATAAGGTTAAACAAGGAGAGTGATGGGAGTGATGGAAACCAGACAATGCTAGGACCAGACAATGTTCCACAGACAAGGAGGAAGAGGCTAATTGACACTGACAGGGAACAGGATGTCAAGGAAACTTGATGAAGTGAGTCAGTCAGTGAAAACGAAATTACACAGGGGAGATGGCTGCTCACTTCCCAAGCCCCCTAGTTTGCAGGAGTGTGGGAATAGAGATTGAGTAGTCCTATCCTTACCTTCATAGGTGATTGGTGGTAAGTACATCCCGAGCAGGACTAGTCTGTGTAGGTGTGTACACAGCGGGTGGAGCAGACAGGGAAGGGTACAAAGGGGCAGGATCAGGGTACCTGAGCAGCCACAGTCAGGTTACTGCAGTTAAGGAATTAAGATAGAAATGACCAAATGTGTATGAAACAAAATAGGTCACCAAGATCTGGGTTACAAGGGAAAACCATTCTGCTGGCTGAGAGCACAGAGAGAGCAGCTGGCTATTGTGGCAAAGAGGCTCTGGTTGGGGTACTTAAGCACAGAAAGCCTAGGAACACCCAGCCAGGAGGGCCAGAGCTGAGCTAAGGGAGAAGGGATAATAATCTGTCGATAAGTCCAGTAATTCAGTGGTACAGAGGGTGCATCAAGACCAGGCCAGCAAGGTTTATCCTAAATTTCTCCTTGCCAACTGGAGGAAGTGCTCAGGTGTGTGCCAAGAAAACATGGAAACAAAAACAAAACAAAATCAAAACAAAACAAAAAAAATACCAAAGTAGTATCTAAATTCCTTATATTCACTGAAACTGAAAATTTCCATTATGTATGAATATCAAACATAGAGATTTCTGAAGGTTTAATGCCAATAGTAGTGAATCTGTTTAGATTCTTCTCTCCCACTTATCTGTGAGTCAGGTGCTGAGTTGTGAGTGTTGCTATTTATTTTTCTTGCCTGCTATTTTTCAGTCCAGGATCATGCCTTGTATTTAGTTATCATTTCTCTTTAGTTTCCTTTAATTCTCTTTCTTTGAATTTTATAACCTTAACAGGCCAACTATTCTGACTTTCAATTTGGGTGTACTGTTGTTTCCTCATGATTAAACTCAGATTATGCATTTTTGGCAGCAACCCAATAGTAATGATGTTGTATCCTTCGCAGTGCATCATATCAAGAAATATATGGTGTTTATCGTTCCCGTTTATTGGTGATCACTCTTTGATCTATAATGTTAAGAAGGTGCTCTTCAGATTTCTCCACTATATATTTTTTCTTTTGTAATTAATAAGCAATATGTGGGAGATACTTTGAGGCCAAGTAAACCACTAGGTTTGGCATCCATTGGTAATTTTGGCCTGAATCAGTTTTTACTACCATAGCAGCCAAACGTTGATTTTCTAACTCCATTATTTCTTTTACATTTATAATTGGCTTTTTAATATAAGAGAAAGTTTTTTATTTCTCATCCATTTACTTATTTATTAATAACTTATTTATTAATATCAGTATAATATAAGGAAAGGCTTTTTATTGATTTTTTATTTTATTTATTTATATCAGTATGGACTCATGGATTCTATTCAAAGGACTATGATCCATTAATATAATTGTTTATTTTGATGCTTTAATTTCTTTGTTCTCTGTCTTTATTTTTATATTAAAATGCCGCTTGCATTTATCATTATGTCATGAACATTATTCCATGTCAGTATACAAAGATCATTGAAGAATTTTAAAGGAGGATCCTGAGATGATCAAATTTGTGCTTCAGTACAATCACTTGCTCTGGTGGCAGTGTGGGAAATGAATTTGAAAAGAATTAGACTGAAGACAGTCTTAAGTGAGGGTTGGGGAAGTGAGGACAGAGAGTAGAAGAAATATTTCCCTTTTTCTTAACTCTGGATAATATAATAATTATTTCCCTCTATGGAAATTTGAAGGTAGGGAGATGTCCAGTAGTTCATAGATGGGACTGTAGTTCATTGGATAGATGAGTCTATAGCTTTGAAGAGTCTGAGATTCAGATTTGCAAGTGTTTAGTGTTATGATGGCAGCTACCATGTGGAATGCTTACTATGTGCCAATCACTGTGCAAAGCATTTTACACATATTATCTTATATATTTCTTACAATAATCTTTTGAACTAGATTTTATTATTTCCATTTCCTAATAAATGATATTCAGAGAGTTAGATAATTTGTACAAGACTTTATATAGCTGCTAAGTGGTAGAGCTGGAATTTATTGAAGTCATGGATTAAATGAAATAAGTCCCAGCAACTCAAATGGAATTTTTATTCGATTTATAGTTATGGTGGTCGATTAGAACTATTGTTGTATTTTGTGCCCAACTGTGAAACAAAAACACTACCTTAGTTGTTAGGTCATACAAAGACAAAAAATTTAGACTTGAGGTTTCTCAACCTTGACACTATTGACATTTTTAGTCAAATAATTCTTTGTTGTGGGAAGCTATCCTGTGCATTGTAGTATCCCTGTCCTCTCTCCACTAGATTCCAGTAGCAATCCAATAATTGTGACAACCAAAAATGTCTCCAGAAATTGCCATATGTCCCCTTGGGGAACAAAATTGCCCCAGTTAAGAAGAACTGATGTAAACATCTGAGTTGGTTCTCACACTGTATTTAGTGTTGTTTATGAAAATGTGTTCTCTATAACAGGGTCAGGTAATTCATTATGCATATGAACTCATTTATTGAACATCTACCAAATTGCCCCAGTTAAGAAGAACTGATGTAAACATCTGAGTTGGTTCTCACACTGTATTTAGAGTTGTTTATGAAAATGTGTTCTCTATAACAGGGTCAGGTAATTCATTATGCATATGAACTCATTTATTGAACATCTACTATGTACATTAATATTTATTCATTCTTTCAAGCATCCAATAAATATTTACTGTATGTCTATTGTGGGCAGTCACTGTACTAGACATTGAGAATACATAGATAAATAATTCGTGATTGTGTAGAGTCTATAGCCTAGTGAGTGTTATGGTTATATAAATTTTGCAGTATGCAAGTTTCTTAGACCTCAAACTCAAATTTACAAAAACTTGACTGTTTATTTTCCTGCCTTAACTTGGAGGGATTATGGATGTTAGAATTTTTGTGCATGTTAATTTGTGTTCTGAGTGGTAGAAAACATCTCAACTACTGGGATAAATTCTGTTCAAATTAGCATTTTTATAGGTTAAATCAAGATGTTTTCATTTCTCTCTTCCGGAGAGTAGCATCTGTGTTCTGGAAGGTTTATGGGGTTGGGTGGGGAAGGGTGCCTTCTCTTCAGATATTTTTATAATATGTCTGTTCTGATACTCATTTATTACCCTTCATGCTGCCACTAATTGAATGGCCTAAATTTTCATCTGATGTTTTATCTTGCAATGTGCACTGGTACTGGTTGTTTTGCCCCTTAGCTTGACTGTCAGGCCACTTTGGGAAATTTAACTCTTCTCTTACTAACCTCTTTTTCCCTTTACTGTGTCACAGAATATGTTTTGCTTTTCTTGCATGCCATACTGGGGCTATGGAAAATTTGGTGGCTGTCAAAGACCTTTCTTCTTAATATCAATATTTCCATTTTTTCTCTACTTTTTCCCTTGCTGTGTTTTCTCAGAAAAGTCTGTATGTTTTGCTGCCTTCTAGAGCTCCTAATGGACTATAAGCCACATGTCTTTTTTTTTTGTTTGTTTGTTTGTTTTTTGTTTTTGGTCAATATATACATATTAGATGAGGTATCTCATTAAAATGGATTACTTAAAAGTTTTATTTTTGTTAAATAACAGAGAAAAAAGATACCACACTCCTATCTCCTTACATTAGCAGAATAAATATGTCTCCTTTCTGTAATCTAAAAAGGAATTCATGCTGAGTTCTGTAAGATACTGCAAAACTTGAGTAGTGATTTTTTTGTCTATTATATGTTTCAAAAATGCCTTATTTTGCACTTGTTCATTATCTCTCAGAAACAGAATCTTCATTGATGATTCTTGAGAGCTTTTTTTTCTATGCTTTATATTTATTCGTAATTAAATGAGTTCATATTTTATGTCAATATATACAACATCCCAAAATTGCTGTTTAACTAATGATTTTATAAAACTCACTAAAGATTTGTGTTAAAGTGCAGTAAAGACCAAGGGATGTTTTTCTTTCATTCTGTCAAATAAGAAGTTGTTCTTATAACACATCTCCTTTACACTGTTGCATGATTTGGTATTTTCCTTAGTCCAACCATGCTCTTATTTCCTAAGGAGGGAAGACTGATGTCAGTATTGTGGATCCTGTTCTAAAAAAGCCCTGGATATAAAACTTACAGAAGAAGGACAACAGGACCTACTAGAATACCTGTCAGCTACTGGTAAGGCTTTAAAATATCTCATTATGGGTGTTCCGCTTCTTAGGTTGAGGCTTTTCTGTGAAAGTTTCTGATACTATTCTTATTTGAATGATCTAGGCTAAATCTTTTTTAAAGTTATTTTCACACTATTACAGAAGTCCTGTTACTTATTTTTATTTTTATTTATTTTTTCTTTCCTTTTTGTCTTTTTTACTGACTGGTAACGGGATCGCAACCCTCGGTGTCGCGCCCGTACTGGGGACTGGCAACGGGATTGCAACCCTCGGTGTCGCGCCCGCACCGCGCTCAGCCAGTGAGTGGGAACCGGTCTCCACATGGGATCTGAACCCTCGGGCGGGAGCGCCGCTGCGCTTCCCAAGCGGGGCACTATCCAGTGCGCCACCGGGCCGGCCCCTGTTACTTATTTTTTGATAGGCTGAAGATAGTAAACTTCTTAGACATTAGTAATTGATTTTCTCTGATGCCAGGTAATTCTTCTTAAAGCACAGCTTTAAAAAAAGTTTTTTTATTGAAACATATTAATTGTACATATTTATAGGGTACAGACTTATATTTCAGTAC